GGATTCTTTTGCTCACAAGTAAAGTGCTCGGCAGACCGAAGATGAAGTTGCCAGTCTCATAAACAAAACGTCATACACACCGCGGCTTAAATGCCAACGAGCATGGTCTCTTCTCAAAACATTAATACTCCGTTGTTATAAAGAAACCCACATCAATTTACTTGGTCGTACCACATTGGCGGATCCAGGGGGCCATAATGACAAATCGTCACCGACACCACGAACTGACACCCGGTGGTCAGCGTTGCAGAAATATAAATCGGAGAAAAACGCTTTAAAAGGTTTGACACCAATTTACTCAGTAAAATAATCCATCTATCTGAGAGGTTTTAGTATCACTTAACGTGAAAATGCTTTAACTACTCAATTATATACGTTATTGTGAAAATATGCTTAGTTAATTAGCAATTTAATTAATTAGACGGGTGTCAGTTCGTGAAAACGACAATGTATGTGTTTTTGGAGAGTGCGCGCATGCAATAGCGTTAGTGAGTGTCAGTTCGTGAAAACATAAATTGACGTGTTTTGGGAAAGTGCGCGCACCCACTGCGCATGCGTGCGCGCACTCTCCGAAAACACGTAAATTATTGTTTTCACGAACTGACACCCTGTGCAGTGTCACTTCGTGGTAACAAAAAACACCAGAATTTACCAATTTCTCGAAAATTCATTAGTAAAATTTGCTTGTTTTAGATGATTTCAGTAATTTTAACTTCGTCATGTTAAACTTCATGATACAAACTGCTAATATCGGCAAAAAAAGAAGGAATTTTTACATTTTTAATTTTTTTTTTACACATGTGATGCAGAGGGTGTCAGTTCGTAGTGTCGGTGACGAAATGTCCCCCCCCCCAAAAAAAAAAACACACCAAAAAACCACCCTATTTTGTACCTATTATCACTTTTTTGTCTGACATTTTCAGGATAGAAATAGAAACATCTTGGATCTCCCTCGCAAGCCATCAACTACACATAATACATTTAATATTGAAATTTAGCAATAACGCATGATACTTTGCAGGGTGAGTTATAAAGAGGACACCCAAATGGCAGGCCCAATTTGTAATGATGTTCTGCATGTTGCACTTTCAATATCTTGTATATGAAAGATCCAATTAATTAGCATTCTTCTTGTACAATAATTATTCAATCTACTCATGTACTTTTTAAGTTGTGGAGTTTGAAACACAACCACCTTTTTAAAGTTCTGTCCACGGATAACGAAAAAGGGAAGTGTTCTTTCAGCAAAACGAAACCAATTCACATACATTCCTATGAGAACTGTTCACGTTTTGCTGAAATAACACATAGTACTTAATACTGTAGCTCTCTTGCCCCCCCCCCCCCCCCCCCCCGAAAATTTGGTCTGGATCCACCCTTGTCGAACATTGCACTGGTCGTAAAGATAAAACTGAGAATACCTCTGGTGTAGTTTGTAACTCCATTATAGAAGAAGTACTTCCAGTTGCCTCTGGTGTAGTTTGTAACTCCATTATAGAAGAAGTACTTCCAGTTGCCTCTGGTGTAGTTTGTAACTCCATTATAGAAGAAGTACTTCCAGTTGTCACAGAACTATCTTCATTGGGAGTATTGTTTTCATGTTCTTCTGCAGAATGAAGATATAGGAAAAGGGAGACTTTTAATGACTAAATATGAAGTACTGCGAATACAATTTTAAACAATATATGTATGGGCAATTCCACACTAATGTGCCCAAATGTGTGATATGTATGCAGACCGTTTTGATGTTGGATAATAAAATTAGGATCTTGGTCTTTCAAGTTTTGCTGTAAACATTGCAAAGCTTTGGACAAATATCCTCACCTGCAAAGGATATAACTGGATCTGTGTTTTAGAAAATACGATGGATATCGTTTCTAAAAGTGTGAAACGAAGAACAGACAATTTAGATAAATTCACAAAGTAAGTGTAGGGGCACGACATTTTATAATAGCACACCCAAGGTCAGCCGGTTAATTAGTGGGACTGGCAAGGTTATTTGTGACACCTATCTGGGGTCGTATATCTACGCCTCACTAGTTAGTTCCAAGTTATTGGTTAAGAATGCATTATTGGATTCTTCCCAGGGACAAACTTTGTCGAGAAGCTTGTTTATATCATTCAAAAGACACACTTGTGTTTATTGGTAGTACCTGAGAGATAAAGTCGATAGGCGACGGATATTTTGTGAATGGCGGAATAATTACGTTTCGGGCCGATTCACCCAGGCACGTCGTTGCGGCCTCTTGCCGTGCGTGCTTCTTGCTGTCGCAGGTGAGACTTTCTCTCCTCAAATGTGTCCATTTTACAACTGCTTCTCGATATTGTTTCATTGTCTCAATATGTTAAACTGGTGCATTATTATGTGCAGATAACTTTCATAGGGGCAATAGACATGAATATGTGTGATTTTAGGGATGCTGTACTCGCAACAAAGTTTATAACTTTTGGCCAGTGGGCGCGCAGCGGGTCATAATAATATGCATGTAGTGTATTGCGCAATGGCGCCCATGTGTCGTTACTGTACATGTACAATGTCGCTTCTTGCTGTTGTGTGTACAACGTACGTGTGTTGTTGGGGCACTGCGCTGTGTGTTACTGAACGCGTGCTAGCTTCAGCGCGGTGGCGCTGTATTATTGGGGCACTGCGCTGCGTGTGGCAAGGCTCACTAACTATTTTAGGCGCTTAATTACACAGATTGGGTGAATCTCTTTTTCCCTTTTATTGTATTGGGCTTTACACACTCCACTGTAAACTTGTGTATAGAGCATTGTTATTAGTGTCATTTTTTAAATACACTCATGTTGAATTTGACATGTACCTTGCATTTTATAGACCTTGCCGACTACTCATAGATTTCGAGCAGTGTCTTCATAATATTATGTCATGGGCTCCGTCTAAACCTCATTGGACACTGTAGCTATACTACCTTGAGCACTACTCGTCACATTATTCACCATTATTCACCACCCCATCTTATATCAGGGTAAGCTTGTGAATTCTAGGTGTCGATTTATATTGCATAATTTCCAGCCTTTTTGAGGAGGAAATAGGAATTATATTATTCATGAGTACATGTATTGCATGTATTATCACTGTTTTACTTGGCAATGTCATCGCGTTTAGTAGCCAACAAGCTAAATTGCGCGGTGGATTTATACAGCTCTGTTATACACACATCCATTTGAAAGTGTATTGTACATTGTTTATTTTTTTGGAAAATGTATAATCGACAAACTGGTGAGACTGAGTGTATACTTTTGACAAACAACTGACGCTTATTGTTTATTCTATCTTTTATTAACAGGGTTTTTTTTATTGGGATTGTATATCATTGACGTACATCCGATGGAATAAAATTTAATCAAGCATTGTATATAAGAGTGCTGCGTCCAAGTTTCTTCGGGCTCCCTATCCACCTCATCGTAGATGGACCACCAGCCTTGGATTGTCCCAGGGTCGACCATACTACTACATAAGCATAACATTTAATGATCCCCTAATCTTGTCTGATTTAAGAAGATGTACCCTAGAGGAGTGCCATCAGTCGAAACCTAGAAAACTCGACGTCGATGTTAAGATTAATTTGATATGTTTCAATCAGAAAGTATACATACAACAAGACTGGATATTTTTTGTTACAAAATGTCTGTCCCTGTTCGTACGTAACCCTAATCACATCTTAACTAACAAAAAAAGTATTCTGATGTTTGAAGACAATTCTTGAAATAGCATTTTTGGACGAAAGAGGTTTTAGGGGTATTTCATTTACAAGGTAATACTCTTTGAACGGATTGAGCAATTTCAGTAATTTGTCCATCAAAAAGTAGCTTATGAAATTGGCTTTCCAGTCATTATGACGTTTGGTCTTTATACATATTTTTTTTAAATATGAAATATATTTTTTTATGGAGTTTGGCTTCTGCTTTTTTTTACTCACCCTGTAGATGTTTGAAAATTGTGAAAAATGTATCTGATGTCACGTCACAGTAGAGCAATTTTTAATATGTCACATACCTTTACCGTTTTCACGACGGGCATGTCAAAATTGCCAATTTGTTTTAAAACCAAGTATCCAGTAGGCATCCGTCAATCCCGGGGGATTATGGGGTTCTGCCCTGAATGTCTGGTTGGTGAACAGCGTCAACTGGGATTTTCGTTTTCATAAACGGACGGGCGTCTTTACCGTTTATTTTGGCTATTTAACCGCTGTGTTATTTATAACCACTGGGCTGAATTTAATTTTACCTATCAAAGAAATCAGCAGCGTATACAGCTTTTGTTGTTGGGGCCCGGGGGGGGGGGGGGACACTTGGCCTCCGTAAACTTCAAAAGCAGGGGGGGGGGGGGGGGGGGCTGGAATCCATCTTCCAAATGGGGGTGCTCTTCGAAACTGACCATTATTACGCATGCTTTTCATTGTAATGGTTTTTGAACGGGTTTTCTTTGGTGGGATTAATGTCAGGAAAACTCTAGAAAAATTTATTTCAATCAGTGCTGCCCAAAAATCATTGTCAAAATAATCCGTCGGGGGGGGGGGGCGCAAAGTACCTCCTGCCACCCCCCCCCCCCCCCCCCCCCTGGATACGCCACTGAAAGAATTATGCCAATGTTTCCTTATCGCATAAAGTTGTTGCAAAGTACATGTAGTAGTTTTTGCAGTTTTCAAAAACGGAGAATCTTCTCTTGCGATTATCTCGAAAACGGTTTTTCTTCAAAATCTTCAAAATCTTCAGTTAAGACAACGCATACAAAACCAATCACTCATAGTCAGACCCTAGCCTTTTCCTAATTTGCATATTTGCCCTACATCTGTGAACATGTAAGTGATCTAAAAGTGAGAGTAGGTGGTGGTTTGGAGCGTATCCTGCTCGACACCATGGGAACGAGGTTGAGTCATGTCGCGTTAGACATGTAAAGTCCAGCATATGATGATAAACACAATAAAAGACACCCTTGTAGATGTAGGGTACAGACAAAGAATATACAAACGTATTGTCTAGTGACTCATTTTCAAGTCTAACTTACCTATTACTGACCGGAGGAAACTCCAAAACGTCCCCACCGCTGAAGCAGCCTGCTCGATGCTGGGAGCACCGTATCTACAATAATTTGCGAAGTGCTCGCAGTTCTCACTGAGAAGGTTGTAATCACTCGGCGTTTTGTCTAGGTGCATTTTCTTGGCTATTTCCATGATGAGTTGGGAATCGTTAGCTGTTTGGTCAGTGTCACTGGAGTTGTTGATCCTCACCTTGCCAGAGCTGACAAGAATCCTTCCAATTGTGTCAGCTCGTATCTCGGGCTTTTGATTGGCCAAGACTACCTCTCTCTCTAATAAACCACAATGGATGACAGTGTGTCTTATACCTTGGTATTGACCGACGTATATACCCCAGTGTGCATCTGTGTGGTGGCTGGTGAACTCCAGCCTATCACCGACGCACAGTTTGCATTCCAAGTCGTTAATATTCTCTGAGGTAAACCAGTCACTCACAATCTCGTAATTGTTGTAGCTTGCCATGTCTCCTGCCTGTCGAACTTCAGATGAAGTAAAACTGACGACAGTAGTGCATCGGGTCAGTGTTATCGTTGTTTGGTGGTTTTCCTGTGTGGAGTTTGCACAGGGAAAGAGGAGGGATGGGCAGAGAATAATAAGATGGAGACATGTAAACATAAGCGTAATGTGTGGAGATTATAAAACTGTTCGTTGAAATTGCAATCAGGATTCAATCGGTACGGCTGTCAATACAAAAGGATTACACAGCAAGGGGGACTATTAATAGATGCCTTTTATCACCCCATTGTAATTCAGACTTATTGCTATAAACGGTTACGGTTTTTTTTAAGCTTCATTTATAGTCGAAGTCGCAATTGGAACCACTTGCAATGCATGTTTTGGATCAACTCATTCAAACAGTTAACAGCGCATATGACGCATTTTACTGATCTGCTTCAACGGCTGAGTTCAATATATCAGCGTTTTACAAAACGCTTAGTTGGGTCGACAAGGCAATCTAAATTCGCTAGACTGGTCCCCGCCCCATAAATACACACTGTTAAAAAAATCATTTTATTTAACAGAGATTCTTATGTCAGTTGTTATTACAAAGGCCAAGTTATTGTACAATGGCTTCTTTGTTGCCAGAAGAGGGCGCAACAAAACCGTTTATGTGAATTTATGTGAACTGTTGTAAAATGCACAGTATGAGCTCTGTTGGTGAACAGTTGCTTCTATGTTTATGATTGTGTTGGAGAACATGACATGCAGTGTACCAGTGCATAATTTATTTGTAACTTTCAACCATGATGGTGGAATAAGATTGCTGTATAAAAACAGAAAAAAAGGAAAATTCAATGCCTGTATCAAACCAAGTGACGGTCATGCAGCATTTTAATCTAGACAAAACAATGAACCATGCAGCCTTGACGTAAAGTGGGCAAAAAATGCTGGACAATAATATGTGTGTGTGAATGAACGTGAAGCCGTGTGCACTGGAATGTGTACGTTCTTTATCTCCAGAACGCGCGCAAGCACATCCCAAATATTTGTATATTTCGCACACCGATCAAAGCAGGTCAGGTCTGATAATTGCCCTCTTTTATTGATCAAATCAAATTCAAGACAAGATCTGTTTATTTAATTACTCGTTTATATGTTCGGGTTTTCAAACAATATTGAGCATCGATTAAAACAAAATCCAGCACGAGCCAGTTTTCAACGTGCTTAACACGGATGCTGAAGAAAAAGTTTTGAGAATACTTGTTCGCCAACATTTTTTACTGTATTTCAGCAATAACAACAAATTATCATGTCCTTTTCGGTGATTTTTACAGAGATTTGTGCTAGTAAGCCTTTGTAAACCAACATAATTTTTAACAGTGCAGGCCTGGAAGCTTAGTCACATCTATGGCCATGCACTGGATCCCTGCTGCACATGCGCAGTATAATTTTTGTCAAAACCACTACATAATGGGAAAAACACCTGCGTCATTAACATAACAACCAACCATAACAAAAGAGCCAGAAAGTAGTAGGTCATGCGCAACAAGCCTTTGAAAACCTGGCTCGGCGGGCTTAATACAGGCCTCTGCGTTTGTACGTTGAGTAGCCCTTTCATTTCGATATTTCTTTTGGCAAAATGAGTTTAACCATAACAACCTCAAGCTTCGCCAGCAGGCACTAGTAGGCAAGAATTATTATGTTCTCGATTATATTTTAATTTTGTGGAACCCCTCTTAGAATTAGAAATAAGTTGCTCAATCCTTTAGTTTTGGACACGCTGAATCTAAAAAAAATGTTTGTGGATGGTATCAGTTTCCAGCAGTTATTTTGACAAAATAATGCAATTGAAATTTGCGGTATTATGTACCAACTGGTGCATGAGTGCTGGCAGCGCAATCAAGTGACTTAATTGTTTTCTAATCCAATTAGAACGCGTGACTTATGCATGTGACCTGTCAACGAGATCAAGAATGTGGCCCAGCGGCGATTTCGATTTATGCAGGTTTGGGGCAAATAAAGCATGTTGCGAAGAATGTCTAGCTGGGTCACTCCATTTTCATAGATGGGCTCTGGGAAAGTGTGAGATTTCTTCAACGAGTGTCCCAGAACACGTTGCCGTTGTAATTCTTTCAAATGAAGTTTTAATGAGACCCTTTGGAAAGAATGTTGCATCCCGAGGCCACTTTTTTGCTCCTTCATATACTATCTCAATCTTGGTCAGTCATTGCTTCAACCATTGCTGTGACGTCACACTATTGTTAAAAGTGTGGATTCGGATCTACGAATCTCTTACACTGGTCACAAAGTGTGGATTTCGGAACTACGAATCTTTAGTAAAGTGTGGATTCGGAAATACGAATCCACACTTTGAACACGTCGGACAATTGTTATCCATAATGAGCATGAACAGGACCGTCTGCGTGAAAATTTGCGAGAGATTACATTTGACGGTTTTCATAGGAACATATTTAAGTAATGTATACTGAGTATTGTAACGCAATGGACAGTTTCGATATTCAGTGCATTGTAAACAGATTGATCTTCTACATGGACTGTACATGTACATACATGCAATATTTAATAGGGCCCACAAGCACAGTGGAATTCAAAGGACTGTAGTTATACTGTGTGTGCCTGAGCATAAGCACAGAAAAGTTGTGGTAAGTGCAAGACATTTTCCAAGAACAATGAAACCTAGTATAGATGAATGGGAGGTAGTTGTGAGTCATGCAGCGTTTATAGGCAGTACGTGGGTCAGTCTTGAAGTTGGCATCGATGAGTGTAGAGCTATAGCATAAGAAAGTGCCTAGTACAGAGAGGGGCGGGTTGTAGGAAAGAGCAGCAATCGGTGAGTGTTCACTATTTTTAAGTGGAAATGTTTTGAGAACCAAATGGATACAAAGGTCTTAAGTGAACCAAGAATTTAGTAAAGAATTAAGATGACATTCAGAAGTTTACCGATTCTGTTATCCGCTCAAATCTAAGAAATTGCATTGCATGAGTGGTAGCAACTTCAGAAAGTTCAGGGACACCTGCTAAAGTGGTTGCACCTGATGCAGGAGCACCTGATGCAGGATCACCTGGTGAAGGAATATGTGCACCTGACAAAAGGGACACCTGTTGAAGGGGTTTTGTGAATTCTTCTGATGTAATGTAATAGTTATTACATAGTATTGATAGGCGAAGTGGAATTCATGATCAAAGTGACTTTCCTTTTATTGGTAATTTATTTACGCCTCCAATTCCTTAGACTTGAGTGCTCGCATGTTTCTGTTTCATTTAAACTGATTCTATCCCCCTTATGTGTGCCATTGCCTGGCGGTAGATTTCCCCGAAACGGATCTGCTCTCTTGGCCTAAGTTAGACCGCCCGCTGCCAAGGCCAGGAACTTTCATAGCGCCGGGTCAGGGTCGCCACAATATTGTCAAACTTGACAGAGTAAGCCTATCATGTAATAATCTACAGCAAATGTAGATTTTTCAACTTCATGGAATGTAATTGTTTTCTGGATTCTGCCTACTTCAAACAACCACAATAACAATGCCTTCACTTCGCGAAAAACCATCGTTATATAATTAGATGTTTTGGTGTACCATGGAGAAATTAAACATTGTGCACACCGAAACAGTTCTTGCTTTCGTTATAAAATCAAGTGATGTCATCATCAAATGTCATGTGACGTCCCATAAAGGGGCATATTTTTCTGTTAAAGGCCTATATCTACAGAACTGTATACTAGCTTTGGTTGTATTACTGGGTTACTTCTCATTAAAGATTCATTTCCCCCATAGGGTTTGTTGTTCACGCTTTAAAACACTCTACTTTGGCACTTTTGTAAATCCGATCGACGTTAGACTTGGTACACACGTACAGACTACCACCCACAGATGGTCCTAGAAGAAATTTGTGATCGTACCGATTCCGAAATGTGTTATAGATGAAAATTCAAGTGATGTCATCATCATATGCCTTGTGACGTCCCTTAAAAGGGCATTTTGTTCTTTAAAGGCATATATTTACAGACCTATTTGTTCGATTTGGTTATAACTTGACATATACGTATAATGTGCTGTTATAGCTTGTGTTTGTCAACAAACACATTTCTAGTTATAATAATTAACTGCTACTCACCGACCGAGAGATGTTGTCTTCACAAGTTCAGAAAATCTCCACACGAAAAACACAAAATGGCGTTTCCGAAGGCGGAAACCACTACATAATGGGGAAAACACCTGCGCCACTAACATAACAACCAACCATAACAAAAGAGCCTGAAAGTATTACAGTAGGTCATGCGCAACAAGCCTTTGGAAACCTGGCTCGGCGGGCTTAATACAGGCCTCTGCATTTGTACGTTGAGTAGCCCTTTCATTGCGATATTTCTTTAGGCAAAATGGTTTTAACAATAACAACTGCAAGATTCGCCAGCAAGAACTAGTAGGCAAGAATTATTATGTTCTCGATTATATTTTGATTTTGTGGTTGGGCAGCAGTAAACAGTCGTGGTATAAACGAGTCCTGTTTATTTCGTCACGCTTTTTCTGATTTTACGAAGAGCCCGACGACTGTTGATTTCAATTATGCGCTCGCCGACCAACAAATTTCTCGATGAATTTCAGTTTTATAAACATATAAACGCACATTAGAAAAGAATGGGAGTTTGTCATTATGCTATATATGGGTCTACTCTACAATATAAAAATATAAAAAACAAAACGATTTTCAGCATTCCACAACCTCTTTAATAGGGCCCACAAGCACAGTGGAATTCAAAGGACTGTAGTTATACTGTGTGTGCCTGAGCATAAGCACAGAAAAGTTGTGGTTAGTGCAAGACATTTTCCAAGAACAATGAAACCTAGTATAGATGAATGGGAGGTAGTTGTGAGTCATGCAGCGTTTATAGGCAGTACGTGGGTCAGTCTTGAAGTTGGCATCGATGAGTGTAGAGCTATAGCATAAGAAAGTGCCTAGTACAGAGAGGGGCGGGTTGTAGGAAAGAGCAGCAATCGGTGAGT